TCCATCCAGGCATTCATTCATTTCGTCGAGTTGCGCTCCTCTCTTCTTTTCGTCATCTTGAAGCATTAACAAAAACACTTACAATTAGAGTCATTCGAAGGTTTCACTCTCATTTCAACTCATCTCAATGACAATTTCTTACGACATGGCAATTGATAGCACTTGAACTTTTCAGCAGCATTTTCACTTTGCCTTCATTCCTTGTTCATTCATTCATCATCAGATTTGAAAAGGTTCACTCACGTTTGAAGGTTGAATTTCGTTTTCATTTATGATATGTATGTGTATGATTATGTTTGAGATGCTTAGGGAATTTGAGTGTGTATTTATCTCATTGAAGATCGTTTCATTTATTCATTCATACGCGATCATATTCTCATCGATGCATGATGCCTTTTATTTGCGAGTATTTTATTGTCAGATCAAACGAATGGAATCGTTTTGAAGTTTAGTTTCATTCTTGCGTATTTAAAGGTGGTGCTATGAATAGCATCGCCTTCAGTTTGGATTCAGTTATTCACGTATGCGTTCGTTGCATTGCATCAATTGTTCTGTTCTGATAGATATGATTTTGTGGAATGAATTCGGGAGAAACGGTTGGATTACGATGGAATTTTAAGATTTTTTTTTTGATTATTTTCTTGAGCAAAATTTTCACCATTCACAGAGATATTTATTCCTTCATTTAAGTTTATGCTTTCTGCTGGCAATGAGCGTTCAGTTTTCAAGCCNAAAACAAACCATTTGATAGATTTCAGTTTGATAGATTTGTAGAACTACTTGTAGAACGATTCAGCTTGTTATGATATTATGCGTGGTTTCTTCTCAGTAGAATTTCTACATTTATATTATTTGTTGAGATTTAATTTCCATCAAAATACACACGTTTTGCACATAACCATTTCATTCTAAATTATTCCATTTGTTTTGCATCAGTTCAGTCTTTATTACAACGGACGAACGTAAGTACATTCTACACTGAATTTATACATTTTATCTCTTATCAATTCAACGCAACGTTCATATTGGACGAAGAATAATACCTTTTCATAGTATTAAGAGTATTTTAAAGGTAACAACACTTCAGCTGAGCAAACGAACGCAGAATAATCGTGGCAAATTGCATCGAAACATAATAATTCAGGCGAGCCAATGTGTTGATGATGACGATGAAAAAATGAATATAAACCGATCAAATGAATGAATATTTTCATTTTTATGTTCTATGAAAGAAATCGCACTGTGCACTTCTCCTACTCCTGCACGCCTTGCTTGCTCGAATAGAATAATTCTCCATATATTTACATTACAAAAATCAATATGCATTCAGTACAATAAGAGTATTTGTTCGATTATCATTATGGTTATTATTATCGTGAGCAAAATAATTTTTGTACCATGCAGATAGGTCACTTTCAATTCATGTGAAGAAGCCACGCCGAATTTATTCGTGTTTTGAAAGATCTATCGCCCATATTTAAAGATGTTCAGTCCATCACGTATGCGTATTTTGTTCACGATACCCATTTTAATTCATTTATAGTATTTCATTCATGTTAGTATGAATTTGATATTGTTGTTTACATTTGTAGTAATATAATCCAGTAATATCATTTGTTTATTGGTAGTTTAGTGGTAATCAGTTACAATTCTTATCATTATTTTGAAGTGTTTTCTTTTTGGTGAATATGAATCTATTTTGAAAATACGATGAGGTTATAATATGACAATTGAATCGTAGCAATAGATATTAAGACTAAATAAGACAAGATAAGAATAGGTTATAATATTAGTGAGAAATATCACAAGAACAGATCTTACTATGTATGCAGATCTCAAGACTAAAATTATATTCTGTGCAATTGAATGAGGGATGTTTCATATCGCAGCGATCCAATCCGTACGTGATAAACTTTCAGGTGGCAAAGTCTGTTGCAGATGTACGCGAAACAAAACATGATTCATCTGAATGCACCGTTGAAAAGAAGCGAACAACGAGCAGTTCGTCAAGTTGATCCACAGTGTCGTGATCATCACTTCAAACCAGCTATGAGTCAGGTTCGGATTCGAAGAGATTCGTCTATCTTTTTCATGTGTCGTTTGTTTGTGACTCCAATATAATGATGACAACAACAGAAGTAATGTTAACTGTAACTATTTATGGTGATACAGTTGAAGTTAACGATAACGATATATGTATTACATTGCCAATGTATGCTATTGGTGGATGGAATGCCTATTGAAGTGTTCAGTTTGCAAATAATTTGAAACAAAACTTCTCATATCGCTATCTGCATTAAGATTTTTTTCACAGCTGATTTTAGATTGATAAACATCACGATCTACTCACGTGTACGTGCGTTTGTAGTATCATAGTGTTACAGTTTTACAAGATGTTAGGTTGGTTCATAATGCGATACTCTGTTCACTCATCTATCACTGAGTTAGTCCTTTCAAGGTCAGCAACTCCGTATTACCGACAATACATCCTGAGCAAAAACAACAAACAACTGGTAGCGCATCCTCATCGCGTTCCTCGTCAGCTGAGCCGAATCGTCCTATTGCAGTCGTTGAGCAATCGCTGTCGATGGCTCGTGTCGATTTGGGCAGTCGCTCGAGTCTAGTCGAATCACCGCATCACGGTACACCGAGAAGTGTGAAGTATCGTAACAAAGTTAATAAGTAAGTGCTGACGTTTTCTTTCTTGTGATTGTTTACAGTGTTCATAATGAAAAAATTTTCGAATGTCCAAGTGTCCAGAAGCTTTCGCGAAATCTCTGCAAAAATTTCATCGTTGTGGATATAATTACATGTAAATATGATTTTCCCAAGTCTAGTTTCACTTTATCATGTGAAAATATCGAATCGGCGANATCAGTTTTGTAGCGAAAATTCGTCTGGTGCAAAAAAAACTGGCTCACGATAATATTTGATGCATACTGATTTTGACAGATGATTATCTGACGATGAGAGATATGTATTTATTCATCTACATTCAGCTGCCGGTTGCTCAGTCACATGAAATGATGACTGATATCATGCATTGATAGCACATGCAATTTGAGGGTATTCTGTTTTTGCTGCACGCATCCAAACGATTTGAATCGAGCAATGCTATCGTAGCTGGCATTTCCGCTCTAATATTTCGATCTTCATTCTCAAATTCCATCAAATGACGAGACAATTTTAGTCTGGCGATGAAAGTTTTGCAGAAAATTGGGAATTAGATCAATCTATCCGTCGAATACGTTCGAATCTTTATTAATATAATTACTCATTATTTCTGTCTATGTCTATTGTCTTTTATTGAAGTATTGTTTAAAATTATATCGCTGAATGGTCAAATTTTGCTTATAATTGGCAGTAATATTGCGGCTTGGCGATTCGTTCAAACATAGGATCGATGAGAATCAAGGCATTAAAATGAAAGTATTGAACTGCTAGACATTACATGTGATGAATTCAACTGA